CAAACTGAAGCAATGAGTAGTATATAAAAGTAATTAACAAAACATGGCTTTCGCTAAAAGATAGCTACTATTGAAATGGAATTGTTACCAAAGCACTTTTTAAAAGAAGTTTATTTCTTTATTTTTGGGAGTGAGAGCATGCGTGTGAGCAGGGGAGTGGGGGAGGGGGAGGCAGAGAGAGAGAGAGAGAAAGAGAAAGAGAGAAAGAGAATTCCAAGCAGGCTCCTTGATGTCAGCACAGAGCCTGACACAAGGCTTGATTCCACAAACCGTGAGATCATGACCTGAGACGAAATCAAGAGTTGGATGCTTAAATGACTAAACTACCCAGGTGCCCCCGCAAAGATACTTTTCATGATTTAATAAATTAAATTAATAAAATTTAATATTATTTTGATAATAATGTATGTGATCATTGAAGTTATTTTGTTGAAGTCATTTTTTAAAGTAACATTTGTTTTCATTTATATTTAAAATCAACAGGGTGCCTGAGTGGCTCAGTTGGTTGGGTGTCCGACTTTGGCTCAGGTCATGATCTCACAGTTTGAGAGTTCAAGCCCCGTGTCAGGCTCTGTGCTGACAGCTTGGAGCCTGCTTCAGATCCTGTATCTCCCTCTCTCTCTGCCCCCTCCCTGCTCACGCTCTCTCTTTCTCTGTCTCAAAAATAAGTAAATGTTAAAAAAAATTATATTTAAAATCAACATACGTAAACAACTTTGTATAGTGTTACCTTTATATTCACTTTTTCCTACAGTAGCTGAAAAATATAAAAACTGGTACATGGAAATAACTTAGAGTTTTCCTGTTAATATTTTTTTACCTTTTTTAGTATATAGAAATATATTTTGAATTGCTTGAAAATTTAATCGTATGTTAGGCTTTACCTTGATTATAAAGTTTGAGTATTCAGCACAGTATAAAAACAAAAAGATAAGACGTGTCACTTATCCTTAGAACATACATGTAGAAATCCTTAAGGGGCACCTGGGTGGCTTAGTCAGTTGAGTGCCCAACTCTTGATTTTGGCTCAGGTCATCATCTCAGGATGGTAGGATCGAGCCCCACGTCAGGCTCTGCAACGAACATGGAGCCTGTTTAAGGTTCTCTTTTTCTCTCTCTCTTTCCCTTTGCCTCTTGCTCTCACTCTCTGGAAAAAAAAAAAATCCTTAAATGTATTTTTCAAAAGACAAATCAAGGAATTTGTCAAGAGAGTAATAATTATCAGTAGGATTCATTTCAAGAGTGTAGGGGAAGGGTCAATAATTTGACTACTATAATTTCACTGCATGGGCGCCTGGGTGGCTTAGTCAGTTAAGCGTCCAACTTTCGCTTAGGTCATGATCTCGCGGTTCGTGGGTTCGAGCCCTGCATCAGGCTCTGTGCTGACTGCCAGCTCAGAGCCTGGAGCCTGTTTCAGAGTCTGTCACTCCCTCTCTCTCTGACCCTCCCCTGCTCACGCTGTCTCTCTCTCTCTCTCCTAGAGATAAATAAAAAATGTTTAAAAAAAAATTTCACTGCATTAACAGATTAGAAGAGAAAGCCATGTATGAATTATTTCATTAGATACTGAAAGTTCAGTGAAATTTAACACCAATTTTTGTTTTATTTACTTATTAAAGACTTCCTTTTTTTTTTAAGATTTTATTTTTAAGTAATCTCTATACCCACTGTGGGGCTTGACAGCCCGAAGATCAAAAGTTGCATGCTCAAAAAAAAAAAAAAAAAGTTGCATGCTCGACTGACTGAGCTGGCCAGGAACCCCCACTAATTTTTGTTTTAAAAACTTCTTTCATTGTATATTGTAAATAGGTATAACTTTCTATTTGTCAATTATACCTCAAAGTAGTTTCTAAAAAAACTGGAGAAATTCTTTGATTAAAGAAATATAGATGGAGAAACTTCTTAACTTGATACAGTAATATATACTTGAAACATATGTCAACAATTGTATATAACAATGAACAATTGGAAACATTAAAGTCAGGAAGTATATGAAGATATTTTCTATGATTCCTTTTTTTTTAATATTATGCCAGAAGTCCTAGCCAGTGCAATTAAAAACATAAATACTGGCAGAGAAGAAAAAACATAGACATTGTTTATAGACTGATGTAATTACCTACCTAGAAACTTGTAGTGAAGCAGCAGAAAACTATTAACGAATTCAATAAAGTAGACTGACACAAATTACGCATATAAAAATGAATAATCAGTCAGAAAATGAAATGGAAAGAAATAGTGAGAAACTTGCGAAATTATTTAGAATTACCTAATGAGAAAGTTCAAGATAACTGTGAAAGAAAGGAAGCAAGGTCAATGATATACTATAGATGAATGAGGAAAGCAAATGTAGGTAGAAACAATAACAAAGATAAATCCCCAAAACAATGTTAATCAACAGAAGCAAGATATAAAAGAATATGTCTTCTGTAATGCCATTAATATAAAACTCAGAATCATAAAAATAATAAACCATATTGTTTAGGGAGGCATATATAAAGAGCAAGACAGTAAAGAAAAGCAAGATGGTAGTCACAAAAGTTAGGATGGTGGTTAGTTCTGTGATGGAGGTAGGACTTGTGGGAAGGCACATGGAGGGCTTCTGGGTGTTGGTAATATTCTGTTTCTTTACTCGGGTTGTAGTTACATGGGTATTGTCTTTGTTTTTGCTAACCTCTGTATAGATCTTATATCTGCTTTCCTATAGGTGGCTTTATAGCCCAATAAAGAAAAAGAAAAAAGAGGAAATGATTAAGTGGAATAGAATAGAGAATTCTAGAAACTGACCCATGTGTCTGTGAATTTATTACAAGTTTATGAGGATTTAAATTAAGGGGGGGTGGGGAGTGGTAGAAGGTAAAAGCCATATCAGCCAATAAATTGTTATAATTGAATTTCCTAGAGAGAAAACTTAGATTCCCAGTTCATTTCATGAATAAAAATTTATTTTAGATAGATTTAAAATAAAAACCAAACTACAAACATTTAAAAATCTAAATCTAAAGATTTAAATATAAAAATGAAACTCAGTAGCAGAAACAAAATATAATATTGAGGTCCAGAATGTCTTCCTTAGCAAAACAGTATATGCAGATATCATAAAGGAAAAGATTGGCAATTTAACTATATATAAATTACAGACTTCTGTGTAATGAAAGATACAATAAATAGCAACCAAAAGAATACGGAAGATATTTGTAACATCTGTTATAGACAGTCTTGTCTTCTGCACTATGCAAAGAGCTCCTAAAATTGAATGACCCCACAATTAGATGAACAGTTGGTATATAAAAGAAGAAATGTTAATATCTGTGTAATGGGAACTATTCTGAGTCTTTGCAAAAAGCAGAAATTGAAGATAGATTGATAATATTCAGTATTTGTGAGAATGTGCGTGAGTGAGTTCTTTGGTGGGAGTATAATTTGATGCAGCCTCTTGGGAGGGCAGCTTTTCTCAACATTTAAGTTCTATTCTGTAATTCCATGTCTAGAAAATTGCCCTTCTGACAGACTTGCATATGGCACAAGGATATATGTACAAGACAGTGCCTTACAGCCATATAGAGTAGGAAAAAAATGGAACCAACCTAGTCGTCCATCCCTAGAGGAATGGTAATATAAATTAATTATATCCATTATATGGAACGTTGCCATTGTTAATGTGCTTACTACAGTATGGAAATGTCAGGGGACACTGTTAATAATAAAAAACATTTTTCTATTTCATAACACATTATTATTACATTTATGTAAGAAGAAAAAAAATCTGAAACTCTGTGTATATATATGGTTATGTATATATTTAAGTGTATAAGTCAATGTTTTGGAAGGATACTCATGAAAATATTGACAATGATTACCCGTAGAAATAGAGAGTGAAGTCGACTAACTTGTTACTTACTCATGCATATAAATATCATTGTACAGTGACCTTATATTATATAGTAAATGTATACTGCATAACTACTTTTTTTTTTTTTTTTTTTTAGAAAAATATATCTCTCCAATACTGGGCTTTCTAAATGACATTCTATTCTCATATTAGGAAACTGAAAATTAACATCTGTATCTGAGGACAAAACTTAGTGATTGGGGAAGACATTTTTGCAGTTTCTTTGAATCTAAGGTTTCTTTTTGTTCATCAAACATGATATCAAACATTACAGTCATTCTTTATTTTTAGGGATAACATATATTATTTTTACATATAAATATATGTGTATATCTATACATATATATATATATATATATTTTTTTTTTTTTTTTACCTACTCTAATCTATATTATTTCTTGGGTTTGGGCCATGTTCTTTTTCTAGCTCCTTTATATATAAAGTTAGGTTGTTTTTTTGAGATCTTTTTGTTGCTTGAGGTAGGCCTATATTGTTCTATACTTCCCTTTTAGAACAGTTGTTATTTGATTCTAAAGATTTTGGACTTTTGTGTTTTCATTTTCATTTGTTTCCATGAAATTTTTTTTATTTCTCTTTGAATTCTTAGTTGATCCTTCCTTATTTAGTAGCTTGTTATTTAGCCTCCATGCATTTGTGTCCTTTCCAGATTTTTTCTTGTGATTGATTACTCATTTCATATCATTGTGGTTGGAAAGGATGCGTTACATGGTTTTAATCTTTTTTAATTTATTGAAACTTGTTTGTGGCCTAACATTCTGGAGAATGTTCCATGTGTACTTTAAAAGGATGTGTATTCTGAAGTTTTTGGATGGAATGTTTTATGTGTATCTGTTGGTCCACCTGGTCTAATGTGATTTTCAAAGCCACTATTTCCTTGTTGATTTTCTGTCTGGATGATCTATCCATTGATATAAGTGAGTGTTGAAGTTCCCTACTGTTGTATAACTGTAGGGATAATGTGTTTTAAGACAGAGTCATGGCAGTATTGACTTTACCTTTTTCCTATTTTGAATTTCCATAAATATTGAATTTTTCCAATGAGTACTTCAAAATCCTTATCTAATTTGTAGTTTTACTTTTTGTCCAGGCCCATCAAATTCCAGTGAAGAAAGTGAATCCTGGAGAAGAAAGGAGGAAAATGTTTGAGGTATAAAGACATCTGTCTGCTTATTTTAAAGCTTTGCAAAAACATTTATAAGAAAAGAAACAAAGTCTTATAAAACCTTCAAACCTTTCCTCCTTATTTCTTTCAAACAGATACCTCCAACATGAATTCTTTTTTTTTTTTTCCTAATCTCCCTGGGCATACATCTACTATTGGTGCACTAACTTTCCTTATGAAACCAGAAAAAGTAGGAATTTTTGATAAAACTGTTCTTTTTTTATTTAAGGAAGCAGCAAGAAAGAGAAGGTTGGAATTTATTGAAAAAGAAAAGAAACAAAAGGATCAGGTAGTTTTTTTGCTTTTATTTTTCTTCCCTTGCCAAGTTGAGGATGAAAATAGTTTCAAGAGCTCTAAGAAGTTTGTCTTTAAAATTGTTACAGATTAGTTTAATGAAGGCTGAACAGATGAAAAGACAGGAAAAGGAAAGGGTAAGAGAATAATCCATTTTTCCATGGTACATTCCACCTCCTCACCACACACATTTTCTTTTTAAAGGAATACACTGATTTCCATTGTATTAGTAAATATGTTTCATGTACTTTATATTAAATACTTGAAATTGTGTTTTGTTTGTTTCTTTTCCCCAAAAGTTGGAGAGAATAAATAGGGCCAGGGAGCAAGGATGGAGAAACGTGCTAAGTGCTGGTGGAAGTGGTGAAGTAAAGGTAGGCATTTGATATCAGTATGGTTACACTACTGCAGTGTTTTCTCCAATTTCACCATGCTCTTTGAAATGTATATAATTGGCTTTTTTTTGGTGGGGAAAGGATTAACTTCATACCTAAAATTCTTCATCTATTATTAATTCTTAGTTTTCCTGCATGTACTTCATATATAGCTTGTATTGATAATTAATACCTGACATTGTTAAAATTGCTTAAACAGTTTGATGTGAAGGCTATGATATACCTTTTCTTCCATAAGAATCTTTTTAAAATAACGTTTGCCACCTCTGCCTTGAATCCTTCTGTTGCTTCATCTAGCCTTAAGGATTAACTTTCATAAGATCCTTGTTACTCTGGCCCCTGCCAGTCTCTCCAAGCTCATCTCCATCCCTTCCCTACCAACACACTGTGTGCTCAAGTGAGGCTGAACTAAAGGCCATACCTTGTACTATAGTTTCTTTCTTCTGTGTAGTCTGCCTGATCTCTTTGTCTTTGTACTGTGTTTCTTTTTACTTGATAGCACCTGTCCTGCCTCCTCACTCTTACTCCCACATCCAACCATTTACCTAGGTAACAAATTACCTAGCTAGTCAGTTACCTAGGCATGTTAAGTCAAGCATTCTTCTTGGGTAGATCCACACTATAAAACCTATGGCAAGTTACTTTTCTGACACTTAACTACTTCATTTAAAAAAAATTCAAGAACAATGCCTGGAATATGTTTAGCAAGGATTCATATGTTAACTTCTTGTTTCTTTCTTTGTTCTACTTATCTGAATCCTACATTTTCTCCTTTGCTCTTGTAGCCTCCTTTCATATCTGTGATAGGCCAAATTCTTAGATGGTCCTCTAAATTTCTGATTCCTAGTGTAGATACCTTCTATTCCCTTCCCTTAAGTGTGGGTGGAACCTGTGATGTCATAGCTCCCTTGATTAGGTTATGTTACATGGTAAATGGTGATGGGATACTCACTCCTGTGATTATCATTGACATGGGATGAGATTCCTTCATAAAAGACTCGAGGGGAGAAGAAAGTCTGAGAGATATGCTTCTGCTGGCCTGGAAAAAAGCAAACATTCATGTGACAAGGAAGCCTTCAGGAGTTGATAATGGCCTCTGGCCAAATACTAGCAAGACAATGGTGTCCTTAGCTATTAGAGCCACAAGAAAATGAATTCTGCCAGGAACCAGTGAACTTGGAAGAGGATCCTAAGCCTCAGATGAGAATTGCAGTTCTAGCTGACAGCTTGCTTGCTTCCTGGTGAGATCCTGAGCAGGGGACCCAACTAACTATATCCAGACTCCTGAGCCAGGGAAATAGTGAGATAATAAATGGGTATTGTCTTAAGGTACTGAGTTTGTGGTGATTTGTGACACAGCAATAAAAAATGGATGTACTTTTTTCCCCTCTGTATTATAATTTTAATATATGTTATCCAGTCAACTTTTAGTTAACACATGGTATTTAGGTGCCCAGTGGAGTTGTCAAATTGACTGGATTACCATTTTTACTTCTTTTCCCCAAAAGTTATGATTTGAATAAAAGTTTTATGTAGATATGTGTGTTCTGTCCTGGCTTTCTTGATTTTTTTATATTACATGTTAATAATTCAGTAAAAGTTTTTCTAATTCTGTATTAATATATTACAAGTTATAGTAATATAATTTTATCTTTAAAATTATACTTTACCATTTTTGTACTGTAGTTTACTCTGAAGTAGAACTTTTTACCTTCTGAATGATAAGGAATGACTCAGAATTTGTCCCATTCTAAAATAACTAACTCCATATCTTACCCAATTGGAAACTAAAACTTAACCAGATGAAGTATGGGCACTTATATTTTGTCAAACATTTTATATCAAGTCTATAATTAGTGTTGAGAATTTGATTTTTTTTCTTTTCCTTTTGCATATATCTTCTGATATGCAATAAAACATATTTTTTTCCTATGATGTTTAAAAGTGTATTTAGTCCTAAAGTCCAATCAGTGTTGTTTGATAACTTATTGAGACAGTTTTGCTACAGTATTAGATAGTATGTATTTAATAGATTTCTGCTTTATCTTATAAATTTCTATAATGATTTCACTGGGGACTAATAAAACTATTTCCCATGACTTAAAGTAAATTCTTTGTTAGTGTCTGTACTTATTTCCCAAGGGGTTTGAAATATTTAACTTCTTAGGCTGTTTGATTTCTGTAGGGTTGATAAGGACCTGGAGGCTCAGTATAATGTCACTCAACTTAAGGAGATCCCTTAAATAAAGATAAAACAGAAACTAAAGGATATATTTCAAAATTAATATTATTAGTATAAATCTCTAAATAATAAGGTATTATTCAGAGTATAAATAATCAACTGATTATTTACTGTATGCAAAATCTGGGACTTACTGCTTCATCCTTTTCTGATTTATCTCTTATTAATGTGTGTTTAAAAAATTAGAAAATGTTCCACATACATAGTTTCATATTTTGGTAATCATAATATGTAAGAGGCATATTGGTGGTGTGAAAATATTTTTTTTGAGAAAAATGTATTGGAATACTACTCAGCAATAAAAATGAATAGTCTGTTAATACATGCAACAACATGGATCAGCCAAAACCATTATACTGAGTTAAAGAAGCCATACATAAGAGTACATGTTGTAGGATTTCATTTATATGAAATTATAGAAAAGGCAGTCCAGTCTGTAACAGAGCAGATCAGTGATTGTTGGAAAGAAGGGATATTGGCTGCAAAGAAACAAAGAGGAAAATTTTTGGAGTGTGACAGATATGCTTTTGATTGTAGTAGTGGTTATACAAGTGTGTGTATATATATATATATGTATATATATGACATATATATGTGACATATATGTGACATATATATGTGACATATATGTTAATGTCAGAACTCATTAACATATGTTTACAATTGGGGAAGAAGGTGATTTTTGAAAGACCATATTGTGTCAGTGTTCTAGTATAGTATTTTCAGCATTGTTTTCAGTATAAGCATCTTCAGAGATGTTAGCATACTTTCATTTTTGCTAAAGAGAAACATGAGAAGACTCAAATGCAAGTCAAGGTGATAATAGCACTAGACTAAACTCAGGGTAATAAATCTCATAGGAGGTGCAACTGCCTTTTATCAGAATTCTTATTTTGATTCTTGCCTTGAGATGCACATTTTGAGGATATGTATAATGACTGCTTTAATGGAGTTTCCTGCTTAATTAGTCATCTTCCCTATTTCTGACAACTTTCATCTCTTGCTACTCAAACATCTTTATTCAGTTATCTGCAGTCATCTTTAAGATGGTTTTAAAAAAACTCATGCTTGCTTATATTATATGCAACTTACTGTGACAAGATGTTGATACAAATTTTATCTCAATGGGTACACTGAAATATTTTATTTGATTCTAGTATTTTTCTTTGCATCTTTTCTTAGATTTCTTCCTTAAGCTATTATCAATCTAGAAAGTCTTTGTTTAGTTTACTTGTCAGTGTTCTGACTTCTGTTCTCATCACTTCACACAAAAAATGTTTTGTTTATTATTTTTTTTAAATTGGAGAGAGTGTGTACATGCACACTCATGCCTGAGTGGGGAAGGGTGAGAGGGAGAGAGAATCTTAAGCAGGCTCCACACTCAGCATGGAGCCCAGTGTGGGGCTCCATCCCGTTACCCTGGGATCATGATCTGAGCCGAAATCAAGAGTAGGTCACTCAACTGACTAAGCCACCCAATGCTCCCCAAAAGCAGGTTTTTTAAAAAAGCATTTTTAAATGCTACCACTCAACTTTAGTCCTATGAGTTTGTTTTGTTTTCAGTGTTAGTGACTTATGCATTTGAGGTTATTGATTTCCTCTTTATAGTGAAATTTTTTCACCATGATTTACAAATTTACTTTTAACTCTATCCTTGTCTGACATCCCTGTTTACTGACTTTTCCACATGCTTAAGTTCTTATGTCTCAGTGATTGTGGCCTTATAAATCTGCCTTCATCCTGTGTTATTCCTGTAAAGAATCCACAACTCCCTCCCTTTTTCATTGATTGCCTTTTTTTACTCCTAGGTTTGTGGCTTGGAATCAGTATAGTAAGCTTTCTGATTAATTCCTCTACCTTGTACTCTTTGTCATTCCTCTTTATCATGCATAATTTGAGTCACCTTCTTAAAACAGTATTCTGGTATTCTACACCTGTCAGAAAGTTTATAAATACTCTGTTGTTTATTATATGAACTCAAACATCCAGACTTGATAGCAGTTAGATATACTAGCCTCTTGTGACTGCTGCCTGCCTTCTAATCATATTTGTTTGCATACTTTCTTCCTCCTCCTGCTGTCAACACTCAAATATTATACACGCATCGCTTATTTTTACTTTAATACCCTGGCTCATATTTAATCATTTAATCTCTCTTTGTTGTATTGCTTTCAAGGCTGGGTTGAACAGTATATTTCTCCAGTGTCATTTTTTTTTGAGGAATTTTTACTTCTAATAAATTTTTTCTGGTTTGTGAAAGTTAGTTTTACTACTTAACTACTTTAAAGTGTGCCTGCTACCATTCATTTACCACAGGCATGAAATGGTTTTCTAGTTTTGTGCTTTGTTTCCCATGTTTATAAACTGATTAAGGATAAACACATACATTTTGCTGTATTTTACATATAGACTATGTTTCAGTGGTGTTTATGTCTTTTACTGTTTGTTGAGGGATTTGAGATTTATTAAATACCATATGTAAATGTTTTTATTAAGTATAAATTTGAGGGTTATAAAAGCAGGCTCTACGTATAAGCTGTACATATTTAAACTTAATAGAATGGCATCATAAACTGTGTACTAGAAACTTGTTTCAAAACTTATTAAGACCAGACTTTTCAATATTTACATGACTTTAATGGCTTTTTATATTTTTGTTTGTTAAATTATACTTTATTCTTAGTAACAAAGTATACTACTTTTTGATTGTTAATGATTATAAGACAGTAGGAAAACATTTTGCTTTAAGCTGTATGTTTATTAATATGTTCAAATTAGGTAATTGCTTTTTAAAAGCCAAGTGTTGAAAAATTTTGTTTCTTTTGAAGGTACTATAGACCTTTTGGGTCTTATGAGATAAACATGTGAGAGCTGTTTGTTTAATTCCTAGGCTCCCTTTTTTGGCAGTGGAGGGGCTGTGGCTCCATCACCTTTTTCTTCTAGAGGACAGTATGAACATTATCACGCTATTTTTGATCAAATGCAGAAACAAAGAGCAGAAGATAATGAATCTAAATGGAAAGGAGAACTATATGGCCGAAGGCATCCAGAAAGGTATGGCTGTGTTCTCCAGACATTGTGTATGCTTTGCTTCAGAGAAAATAATCAAAGTCATTGTGATGTGGAACATTGTTGGGGTTTGGAGCCAAAAGCCAAGAAAGAATTCCTGAGATGTCTTTGGTGCAAAAAAGTGGTTTTATTAAAGCATGGGGACAGGAACCCTGGGCAGAAAAGGCTCCCTTGGGATTGTGAGGAGAGATTGGTTATATATTTGGGAGTTGGGGGAGTTAAAGGCAAGGGGGAGGTTTCCAAAAAGATTTACATATGTTAAAGAAGACTCCTAGGAAACTGGAGGCCTAGATACTGTCAAGCTAAAAGTTGTTTCCTCTCTAGCAAATCATTAGCATCAAGACAGTTGGGAGTTCCTGGAGGAATGTCCTTCTCTGCCTGTCTCAAGTATCTGTCAGTGGATTGCAGGTTATAAGGAAGTTTAATTTTATCTACATTTCTTTCTGTCTATGTTTCCCACACCAATTGTGCATGTTTATCTACAGAGGAATTTCACCTGGAATATGTCCAGGATTTCCTAATGGGGCTGTAGGTCATCACAATTTCCCAAATGCTGATGCTATTAGAAAATCTTTGAAAAGATTGAAGATTGTATCTAAACAAGCCAATACCAACAGGTTGAACTATGATGATCCATAAATTCATCCTTGTGTATAATTTTGTTTCATGTCATGTATAGCTTAGTACCTATAATTTGCAGATATTTTCTGTATTGATTACACAGAATGTGTCTTTGCCTTTTGGAAGCAATAATTTTTTCAGGTGCAAATTTGGCCTTTGACTGCATGTGGCAAACATGCAGCTTTTTCATTTCAGCCTAATTTTTGTAGCTTATTTATATGTCATAGTCTGAGCATATGTAAAAGAACATGTAATAACTGTGAGCCAACATATGGTTGTAATAATTTCAGCCACTTGCTTTAAATAAATATGAATATATTTAAATGGAATCACACTTTATGCAAAAGTCCAAAGCATGCCTTTTTGTCTTTTTTTCCCACATCACTTAGAATCCCACTTTTTTCTCTTTGTTGTTTGGCTTGTTTTCTCTTTATATTCATCTCTGATTTATGGCTCTCTGTGATCCCATTCATCAATTTTTTCCTTTTCGTCCATTGAATTAACTTAATATGATAGCAGTCAGTAATTTTAATTTGCATGGTTCCATTTTTCTTAAGAGGTGCCTTATGAGGCACCTTGGGGGCTCAGTCAGTTAAGCATCTGGCTCTTGGTTTCAGGTCAGGTATGATCTCACAGTTCGTGAGTTCAGGTGCCATATTGAGCTCTGTGCTGACAGCATGGAGCCTACTTGGAATTCTCTCTTTCCTTCTCTCTCTGCTTTTCCCCCTCACATGCTCATACATATGGGATCTCTCTCTTAAAATAAATAAATAAACTTAAAAAAATGCATATGTGTTTTCTTACATATTCTCATTTCTTTGATAAAGTGTCTGGTTAAAAAAGAGCAGATACCGGGGCACCTGGGTGGTACAGTCAGTTAAGGATCTGACTCTTTAGCTCCGCTCAGGTCATGATGTCATGGTTTATGAGTTTGAACCCTGCATCAGGCTCTATGCCATTAGATTCTCTCTATGCCTTGAGATTCTGTTTCTCCCTCCCTCTGCCCCTCTCCAGCTTGTGCACTCTCTTTCTCTCTATCTCAAAATAAATAAAATGTAAAGAAAAAAATAGAACATATGTGTATATAAAAAAAGAGCAGATCTCATTTTGTGAAAATTTAGTTACATTGCCTTTTTCTTGTCATTTTACGGAGAATATTTTCGAATGTAATAAAAATCTTTATGATCCTCCCCATTATAAAGATTTAAGTGTAGGTGAGCAGAGGTAAATAATTGAGGTGAATATAAATTAACATTATGAATTAATACACTAGCCTGAAGTATTAAACTAATTGTAGAGTCTCTATATTTTTGAGAAAGGAAGGCTACTGACTCACAAATAAGCATTTTTTTTAATGAAATGGGAAAGCAAATTTTGTGCATGGCTTTTATCCTGTGGTGTTATTTATCTTTCTAGTATATAATTTGGCTTTATTTAGTTATATATTTATCAAATCTAAAATAAATATGCATAGTATGATGTGGAAAATGTTAGGGTCCTGAGCTGATGGCCAAGAAAGAATTCTTGAGATGTCTTCAGTATAAAAAGGTGGTTTTATTAAAACACGGAAATGGGAACTGTGAGCAGAAAGGTCTGCACTCAGGTTGTGACAAGTGACTGATTATATACCTCCAGGTTGGGAGGGGATTAGGAATAGTGTAAGTTTAAGGTATTTTGGAAACAACGTTTCCAAAACCTTGAAGAGGTAGCTAATATTAGGAAAAGGCCATTTATTACTGTTTAGTTAAAAACTCAGTCATGAGACCTTTCAGATTTATATCAGGGGGCCATAAGCTTAGAGTATGATTACCAACATATATCTTGGGAGGGTGGCTGAGATAAAAGGAGTTTCCAAAGGAATTTTTATATGTTAAAGTAGACTTACAGGATCTTGGAGGTCAGGATAATGTTAAACTAAGATTGCCTTTCACCATTAGCAAATGTCATCATCAAGGCAGCTGATGACATTCCTAGAGGAATGTCACTCTGCCTGTTTCAGGGACTTGTCAGTGGGCTGTAATCTGAAAGGAAATTTAATTTTTCATTTTCTTTGTTTCCCACATCAAGTATAAAGAAATTAGAGAAAACTATGTTATGCTTCTTCACATTGTTCATCTTCCATAATGTTTCTTGATTCTTCACAATTGGAATGACAAATAATGGACTGTACTAGGCCATTTGCATCAAATTCCTATTGTAACCTTGAAACATTTGCATGTATTTGAATTTCATATTGTCGTAAATGGCTGTGTTTCTCTCTCACCTACCTCTTCCAATATACCACATCTTCTATCAGTCTTTGTTTTACATAAGATATATTTTCACTATTATAATATTCAGTTTTCAAATCATTTGTGGTTATGAGATCATTTTTATTTCATTTGTGTCAACTCTGTTGGCTTAGTGGTATTCAGATATATAGTATACATTTTCTTATGTTGCATGAATTATTATTGATGGTAGGTATTATTGTATACCAAGTTGTATTTATTCATCACAGCAACCCTATTTTAGATATTATTCTTTTAGTAAAAATGAAGAAATTAGGATTTATAGAGATTTAAAACTTGTGCATGGTCAGGCAGCTAGTAAGTGGTAGAGTTCAGATATAAATTAAATCCATCTGACTGTAAAATTCTCCTTAAACACTCTCTTATAAAGATTTATCAGCTTTTTAAGATATTACTAGTGAATAAGCTAAAAAGTTATTGCCTTAGTTGGTTATAAAATTTTAAAATACTGAGTTAACATTAAACATGACGCCAATGACTGCATGAACTTCCATGTCTACTCAGTGTATTTATTTTGATTTTATTTGAGGACATGGAAAACAAGAATTGGCAGAAAAGTAATGATCATCAAGTATCATATAATTTTTGAAACACATAGTCTATAAACTAGGCCAGTTTTCTTCATGTTGATCCCTGGCAAGGTTAAAAGTGATGCCTGCAAACATCTTAGGAGGAAGTAGTAGTAATCACTTGGACAAAGTATAAATTCACAGAGAGTAGATTTATGTCAAATATATCTTTTTTTTTTTTTTTTAAGGATTATAGGCTAGAACTTTAGTTCTCAAACTGTGTGGTGGTGCAATTGGGAATATCATAGTGCCATGGATATTTTATAATTTTGAAGGGAAACACAACTATATCTGTTGGACAAAGCACAGACCGCTACTCAAACAGTTTGGACCTAATCGGTAAATAGAACTATTGGCTATTTCTGTTGACCTAGAGGCATTGTGAAAAAATTAGATACCTAGTAGAGTAGATAAACCAAAGCAATTTATTGCTGCCAGCCTGTCTCAGTGTAGGTAAGGTGAAGAAATATAAATAAAGATTGTCAGGTGGATTAGTAACTGGTTAAAGAATTAGATTCAGAAGATGCTGGTCAATAATTTCATGTCATACAAATAAAAATATTTTAGAGGCTTGTCCTCCTCAAACTAATCTTCATTTTTAAGGGGTGCATTAAGAAACATTTAAAGGATATAGTCATCACATATTTTCATAAGATGTAAAATGGAAAGAAATGTGTAACATGGGAAGAAATGTGTGGTATGATTAATCAGCAAACAAAGTAATCTCAGTAGACTGTACTACAATGAACCTGAATTAGATACAATTTAACAGGAATAAATTTGATGAACTTTTGAGTCTGAAAAATTATCTGACCAAATACATTTATAGTTGGAAAAGGTTTATAAGTAGCATACATTAAAAAAAAATTGAACTAATGACCCTTCCTTGCCCCCGGTTCAAATAATAGCCCCTAAATGGCCTACAAGGTCTCATAGAGGCCTATACTATATACTCTTATCTTTGTGCTTCCTCTTTCTATACTTCTGGGAGTGAAGAAGTAAAAAATGTGTGTTTTCGCATCCTTGTTCCTTTGCATCTGTTGTTCCCTCAATCTAGTATAACTTTGCCTCTGCCCATTTTGCCTGGCTAATGCCTATTCATTATTCTGGCTTTGGTTTAGGTTGGCATTTACTTACTAGCTCTATAAAATAAAATTGAGGACCTGTTTGAGGAATTCTACCTTTTAATTTTGCCAAGTTAGTTCATTTTTAAAAAGTTATCAGCCCAGGGGCTCCTGGGTGGCTCAGTCGGTTAAGCGTCTGACTTCTGCTCAGGTCATGATTCCACGTTAGTGGGTTTGAGCCCTGCGTCAGGCTCTGTGCTGACATCTAGCTCAGAGCCTGGAGCCTGCTTCCGATTCTGTATCTCCCTCTCTCTCTGACCTGCCCCTGCTCAAGTTGTCTCTCTCTCTCTCTCTCTCTCTCTCACACACAGAATTAAGTAAAACATTTAAAAATTATCAGCCCTAATTCCATCCTTTGATAAAAGAAGGGACATTTTGAT